CCCCAAAACCCCAAAACCCCAAAACCCCAAAACCCCAAAACCCCAGAGGGACAATCTGCGGTTGAGATAATCATACTAATAATTCTTATAAATTAGTATTAATTATTCAGGCCTAATTCATGCCCATCTCTAGGAGCTTATTGATTATCATTCGGAGCTCCATATTCTCTTTCTTGAGTCCGCTTACTTGTACCTGAAGATCTCAGATCTTCCGTTCCTCCATAGTCTGATTCACAGGATTTGGAATATCGAAAAACTTCTTTAAATTCTTTTTAGTAATACTTGGAGAGTTATGAACGCTTGATTGCTTCAACGTCGGGACAGCCAGGTCTCCAGACCTGCTGTTCTGTTGGCAATAAGAAGGCATCAAGGTATCCCTCATCTTCTCATTTTTCAAAGGTTTTATAAGCATTTCGTCCATCCAGTTTAGGCTTTGAGGTAGATATGGAGTGTTGCCATTTCCTTTAGTCTCTTCTTCCATCATTATCTTTCAAACGCTACCTTTAAAGAGTTAATAGTATTGTGGCTTCAAATGATTTTGCACACAAAAATGAACCTCCAGTCCCAGGCTAGCAGCCGGTTCTGCTGCTAGCATGGGTTGAGGACTAATTTTGAGCAGAAAATATGGCTGATACTCACCAAACCTCCCCCTCATTATAGAAGTCCTCCAGGACTTCTATTTGCTGGTGAGAATTCATGGAGCAAAGCTATGAAGGAATCTATTCCAGATAGTATCTGGAATGGAAACTTTCCTAAGATTCCTTATAAAATTTTCCAGAAAATTTCGTGTTTCATAAGACTAATACAAATATGGAGGGATGGAATCAATTTCGCAAGTAAATGAAAGAGCTAATGATGCCATACTTAATGTTACTAAAGAAGTTAGTGAAGAAATAAGAACTAGGGGGTTCTTAGCTACAGAAATCACAAAACCTTACCTTTTCTTAGATCTCTTTCGTCAATAGAGTGAGATGACATTCTCCGACTAATAAATCCATCTGATGAAGTTTTCTTCATAAGAAGTTCTTTAGGAGTTATTTGTCCTTCTCTTTCCTTATAGCCTGCTGTCTCAAAGTCTAAAGAAAGGATTAATGAATCTTTCATGATCGCGGTTTTACCTGTAGTGCAGATCTCTTCATCAATTTCATAATGATCAAGGTCTCCACTTTCCTTAAAATCTGCCACCATTCCAAGTGTCTTCCTTGGAGAGCACGCATCACCAAAGCTAGATAGATTCTCTAAAGATTTAGATATGATCTTACCTTTAGTAGTTGAATTCAGGTTTGTAAGCTTCTTAGTGATCCTTTTGCCATACTTGCTCTTTAAGTTATCTTTGGTCTTAAGCAGGCTCCTAAAAGTATCATCCTCAAGAGGAAGCGAGCAGCTTGCGCCAGTAACTATGTCACAATCCATTGACCTAGACAGTATTGGTGGTTACTTATTTGGGATAGGATACTTACTGTTTAGAAAAATGACGTTTTTCGAACACCTCATCTTCAAAATCTCTATGAACCCTCTCTCTTGGGGAGCTCATCATCTCATTATCATGAGAATTGTCCAAAGTTTTATTGTGTAAAGATCTATTTGGGCTGGTATGCAGCCATATCCTATATGAGCACCTGTTAAGTATTTGATTCAAGAATCTATCGGGATGGAATCCAAGCCATAAACTGATTTATCATCTAATTTATAAGCAATGGTACAGCTACATCAACTAATACGTCACCAGAGTAGATAGTGGTAACTCCAAAGATTCCTGATTCCAACTTATTTATCAAAAATATTTATATCATGAACCAAGACTGACGAGACTTACGATATTAGTGATTTTAGGGACAAAATTTGTGGGTTTCTCCTTAGCTCCCTTCACCACCGCCTTAGTACTATGTTTTGTCATATATTTCTTGACGCCCATAGTCTTTTGTCGTGGGAACCTGCCGCTTTGCCTTTTAGCCTTCCTAGCAGTATCGTCTAGAAGCATTGATATTTTATCAATTCTTCCTTCTGGGGATCTCTGCTTGTTCAATTTGTGACTACTACTAGAAAATCACCAAGGATATTTTACATTGACATAATTGCCTCTCTTTGTTGTAGAGGAATCCTCTTGCTCTTAGGTTTCATGTTCTTCTGCTATAACAAGGTCAGCACGGATGGTTACAACGGAGCTGATGCTGGCCGAAGGCTGAAAAGTTCTAATATCCATATTACATTTTAACCCTAACTTACATTTTTATTTATTCTGAGACTCTAGTTTACTTTTACGCTCTGCCTGTTGAATGCTAGTACGCTGCTTTGGAGCAGAAGAGTTCTCTAGACTGAGAGACATTGATCCTAGCGTGCTATGTGATAATTAAGCATGCTCTGAAAAGTTTGAAAATACTCAGAAATCAGAAGAAGAGTAATTACACGTTGCATATCTTTCACACAAGTCTGAGAATTATTATGAAATTGCATTAAAGAGAGATATTTCAATTAAATAGATTTTCAAAGTTGTAGCTTTGTAACCAATTTCAAAAATTTGCCAATTCTTTACAAAACTTGTGCAAAAATAGAGAAAAGGTGGACTTATGAGTGCTAATCTCTTCCTTGCAAAGAGGATGCTCTCACAACAATCTATAAAACAATTCTTACCTGTCAAGTTTGTTGCTGTTGCTAGATTCTAATGCAAGGGAAGATTGTAAAGGATCAAACATATAATACTCATTCTTAATAACCAATTCTGTTTCAATGAACTTATTCTTGGATGCAGAACGGTTACTTCTTGACTTAGACTTATTTAGTACTCGATTTCAGAGTTTGGAACTTCGGTAACCTTGTCTCTATAACCCAAAAATGATCAGAGAGGGCAAACACTTCAAACGTACTTGATGTAGACTGCTTTTTGCCGGATTTAGGGTTCTTAAACTCCCTTGCACTGATCGGCTACAGATTATCAAAAGGGTATACCTCAAAATATTCGTATTTGCTCCTAAGCTTCGATTTCATTTTATATATTATTGTATAATCAATAGTATTTCGAGCTCTGGGGTTTTGGGGTTTTGGGGTTTTGGGGTTTTGGGGTTTTGGGG